AAGTGAACACAAGGACTAAACATAATTTTTTTTTTTTTTTTAAAGGGGGTTTCAGTCAACTGAAAAAATTTCCAGGGCATGAGATCCAAAAGATCCAAAAGAGAAAAAGCAGAAAACCTTTAAAATAAAAAACTGGCCAGGCGCAATGGCTCACGCCTGTTATCCCAGCACTTTGGGAGGCTGAGGCAGCTGGATCACGAGGTCAGAAGATCGAGACCATCCTGGCCAACATGGTGAAAACCTGTCTCTACTAAAAATACAAAAAATTAGCCAGGCATGGTGGCATGTGCCTGTAGCTCCAGCTACTCAGGAGCCGAGGCAGGAGAATCGCTTGAACCTGGGAGGCAGAGGTTGCAGTGAGCTGAGATTGTACCACTGCACTCCAGCCTGGGAGACAGAGCGAGACTCTGTATCAAAAAAAAAAAAAAAAAATATATATATATATATATAGCCTGAATATCAGCTTTTAGTTAGGCCAACTTCTGACCAGAAAGCTGTTTTTAAAAATCCTTTGTGGCCGGGCGCAGTGGCTCACACCTGTAATCCCACCACTTTGGGAGGCCAAGGCAGGCGGATCATGAGGTCAGGAGTTAGAGACCAGCCTGGCCAACATGGTGAAACCCCGTCTCTACTAAAAATACAAAATTTAGCCAGACGTGGTGGTGGGCACCTGTAGTCCCACCTTCTCGGGAGGCTGAGGCAGGAAAATTGCTTGAACCCAGGAGGCGGAGGTGGTTGCAGTGAGCCAAGATCACGCTACTGCACTCCAGCCTGGGCGACAGAGTGAGACTCCATCTTAAGAAAAAAAAAAAATCCTTTTTTTTTTTAAAATTTTTTGTTTGAGATAGGGTCTTATTCTTCACCCAGGTTGCAGTGAAGTAGAGGGATCTCAGTGCACTGTAACCTAGGCCTCCTGGGCTCAAGGGATCCTTCCTCCTCAGCCTCCGGAGTTGCTGGAACTACAGTCGTGCACTACAATGCCTGCCTAATTTTTAATTTTTTGTAGAGATGGGGTCTCGCCATGTTGCTCAGGCTGTTTTAAATCTTTTATTATCAGGCCAGGCATGGTGGCTCAGGCCTGTAATCTCATCACTTTGGGAGGCCAAGGTGGGTGGATCACTTCAGGTCACGAGTTTGAGACCAACCTGGCCAACATGGTGAAACACTGTCTTTATTAAAAACACAAAAATTAGCTGGGCATGGTAGTGGGTGCCTGAAATTCCAGCTATTTGGGAGACTGAGGCAGGAGAATCACTTGAACCCAGAAGATGGAAGTTGCAGTGAGCCAAGATCACGCCACTGAACTCCAGCCTGGGCAACAGAGCGAGATTCCATCTCAAAAAAAAATGGGGGGGGGGTTGTTTCAGAATAAATGAATGGAGGAAAACAATGATATAGATAAAACTAAATAGATATAAAAAGTTGAGCAAAGAGGCTTTGCCGCCACCACCGGGAGCCCTGTACTATCAGTCATGGTCAACCCCACCATGTTCTTCGACATCACCGTGGATGGTGAGCCCCTGGGCCGCGTCTCCTTCGAGCTGTTTGCAGAAAAGGTTCCAAGGACAATAGAAAACGTTTGTGCTCTGAGCACTGGACAAAAAGGATTTGGTTATAAGAGTTCCTGCTTTCACAGAATTATTCCAGGGTTTATGTGTCAGGGTGGTGACTTCACACGCCATAATGGCACTGGTGGCAAGTCCATCTACGGGGAGAAATTTGAAGATGAGAACTTCATCCCATAGCATACAGGTCCTGGCATCTTGTCCATGGAAAATGCTGGATCCAACACAAATGGTTCCCAGTTTTTCATCTACACTGCCAAGACTGAGTGGTTGGATGGCAAGCATGTGGTCTTTGGCAAGGTGAAAGAAGGCACAAATATTATAGAGGCCATGGAGCGCTTTGGGTCCAGGAATGGCAAGACCTGGACCCAAAGAAGATCACCATTGCTGACTGTGGATAACTCTAGTAAGTTTGACTTGTGTTTTAGCTTAACCATCAGACCATTCCTTCTGTGCTCTCCTCTCAGGAGAGCACCCCTCCACCCCCATTTGCTCGCAGTATCCTAGAATCTTTGTGCTCTCGCTGCAGTTCCCTTTGGGTTCCACGTTTTCCTTGTTCCCTTCCATGCCTAGCTGGATTGCAGAGTTAAGTTTATGATTATGAAATAAAAACTAAATAACAACAACAAAAAGCTGGGGAAAGAAAAGAAAGAATGAAAACAAATTCTAAGAGGTTACAAAAGGTTTATGGAAATTTTATCTTGTGTAGTCAAAGCTGATCAAGATTAGACAGATTTGTTTGTAAAGTTTATTAAAATTAGCATTAGTATTAAAAGCACATTAATATATAGCATATATTATATATATTATATGTATTTTTTATTTTACTTATTGATTGATTTTGAGGCAGAATTTTGCTCTTGATGCCCAGGCTTGAGTGCAATGGCACGATCCTGGCTCACTGCAACCTCTGCCTCTCGGGTTCAAGTGATTCTTCTGCCTCAGCCTCCAAAGTAGCTGGGATTACGGGCACCCACCACCACACCCGGCTAATTTTCTGTATTTTTAGTAGAGACCGGGTTACACCATGTTGGCCAGACTGGTCTCGAACTCTTGAGCTCAGGAAATCCACTTGCCTCAGCCTCCCAAAGTGCTGGGATTACAGATGTCAGCCACCACACCTGGCCGAGTGTCTTATTTTCAAGGAGGCTCTTGGAAAGCATGGGAAGAATTCTGACAAATACAGGTTTCTGATAACTTCGAAATTGCATCATTGGACTGGGTAAAAATTTCCAAAGTCTAATGAAAATAAAACTGGACTCATAAAATTGCTAACCTCCAGACTAATGTTTTCCATTTTTCACCCACTCTTCTGACTTAGAATCACTAAAAATTAAAACAGCCTTTTTTTGACTTGGCACAGTGGCTCATGCCTATAAATCCCAGCTCCTTAGGAAGCCAAGTCAGGAGGATCCCTCGAGCTCAGGAGTTCAAGACCAACCTGGGCAACATAAAGAGACCCCACCTCAAAAAAATTTCTTAAAAATTAGCCGGGTGTGTAGTGCATGCCTTTGGTTCCAGCTACCTGGGAGGCTGAGGTGGTAGGATGGCTTTGCCCAGGAGGTTAAGACTACAGTGAGCCATGATCACACCACTGCACTCCAGCTTGGATAACAGAGCAAGATCTTGTCTCAAAAAAACCCCAAAAAACTAAAAACCCTGCCTTTTTCCTAACGCCTTACCAGCTAAAGCTAGTCAACTTGTCTTTGAAAAAAAAAAAAAAAATCACCGTAACATCTTATATTTGGACAAACTTTACACACAACCCACAATCTAGGAAAACAGATTGCTATTAATCTTCCCAACTGACTGCCCTCCAGACTCTAAAGAAACTAGTTTATACACTATACCAGATATTAAGCTTTGCCTTGTTCCATAGAAATGTCTCTCTTATTAAATCTGTTTGCCTACATCATGTATAGAGGCCTAGCTTTGAGAACTCATCTACAATGCCATCTCCTGAAAGGAGACACAGCAATTCAACTGAACTGGCCTATCCCCCAAAATGAGAGACTGGTTTAATGGGATTCTTTGCCGCTCAATTACTAGCCCAATTTCTCTCTCCACAGACACCAACTCAGCTTTTATAGGGAAACTTCTAAGGAAGTTTCAGACAAAGGAAATAAAGGAGACCAGGGACTCACAGCCCAAAATATGGCATCCTGTATGCTAATTATTTTAAATTAAAGGTCCCTGGATACCAGCAGATACTGGAAGCAGCTTTACTCTGATAACCACCTTATCTGCCTAAAGTCCAGACCTGTCAAAGAAGAAAACAATTACTTCTGGTCTCTTCCCTGAGTTTTCATTAACTTAACTCATAGTACAGGAAGAAAGACTGAAGCCTGTCAACACACCCGGACAGATTTTTGTCAGAAACCACTGTCTGCTTTGCAGGCCCAACAGTCATTGTCCCACGCCACTGTATGTTCTCCAGGCCACTGAATCACCCTGAAAGTCATTTACGATCCACCTTAAAATCACCCACATTTCCCCATCTCCCATACTCCTATGAAGAAGGGTATATAAGCCTCTGTACCCCACTGGGTCATTCTCCTTCAATTCCCTCAAGCTATGCACGTTAAAATAAAATTTCTGTGCCTTTCTCCTATTAACGTGCCCTTTGTCGGCTGATTTTTCAACAAACCTTCAGAGAGCAAAGGGGAAGCTTTTCCTTGGCCCTTACATGCTATATAGCAGAGGGCAAAGTGCTTTAAGTTCATGTTCTGAGCAGTCCCTCCACCCATTCCAAGGTAGCACAGCAAGGAGCTTGGGACACTTCTCAAAGAAAGCCCAAAGATTTCTTTACAACTTATTTTTTACAATTCTTTTACAGTAGCCCCCAAATTTTATCCACTTTCGCATCCTCAGGATCAAGCAGAGTGCCTAGAGTGTACACTCTAGAAATGTTGATTGAATTAAGAAACGGCTGACAGTGTGTGCAGGTAGTGTGGCCAGAAGAATAGTTTCAAGTCCCAGGCACTCATTAGTTGTATGACCTGGGGCAAGTCGCCTAAATATACCAAGATCCATTTCTTCACCAATGAAACAGGACTACTACTACTTGCCTTCCCTACCTTACTGGTTCCTCACGAGGCTTTACATAATGAGCGGCACTGTAAAATGCTATACACGTATATGTACAGTTTTGACAGGGCTGTTTCTTAGTCTAAATGGTGAAATGCAAAGAAACCTGGACTCAACAGTCAGAAGCTGTTGGGCCGTTGTACAGGGCTACGACTATCAGGTTCCGTTTTCCCATATTAAACACAAAGTTTAGTCTCGACGATGTTTCGGACTCTGCACTTTATAGTCTGTATAAATCCGCTACAGGCTGGGAACCTCAGTCCTCAGAAAGGTAAACCCCAGGGTTCCCAGATGCACCTGCAAGGGCAGGACAGTCAAGGTCGCGGTACTAAGACGCGGGACGCTCACCCAGTCAAAGTCACACGGGTTACCGTCTTCGCGTTGGGTGGGCAGACCGTGGCAGAGTGGCGGCAGTTTCCTCACGACTAGGAAGGCAGCAGAGAGCAGGGCCGACAGAAGGTAGTAAGGTTGGGCAAGCCATCGTGAAAGTCGCGGCACCGAATACACCAGAGCAATTAGAGGAGCCAAGACCGCCATCTTTTCGGCCGCAAGGGCCACTGCTCACCGGCGTCCTAGGTCCGGCCCCGCCTCCCCCACTATAGCGACTGCTATTGGGCTACATCTCAAACGTACAGCCTCTAAACCCGGATGTAGTTCTCTCAACGCTGTGGTATGTCAGAATCCAAAAAAGAACTTAATATTTTATTGGTTGGTCTAGCTGTCGCTTTATCAGCTTAAGTCATTTTATTGGACTGTAGCTAACGCAGCTAGCAGAAGACTCTAATAAGGTTAAATAGCACTTCCTGAACGTTCTCAGAGAGCGACGGAAGTAGTTGTTGAAACAAGGTAGGCGGTGCCTGAGGCATCCAATGACAAGCGGTTCCTGGAGAAAGAGGGGGGGATTCCTTAAAAGCATTGTCCAATGAAAATTACCGACGCCAGACACCGAGACAGCGCCGGATCGGAGGGGACGATGGAGAATTTCACGGCACTCTTCGGGGCTCAGGCTGACCCACCACCGCCCCCAACCGCACTCGGCTTCGGACCAGGAAAGCCTCCACCCCCGCCACCGCCTCCTCCGGGCGGGGGACCCGGCACGGCTCCGCCTCCCACCGCGGCCACGGCCCCTCCCGGCCCGGACAAGTCAGGAGCTGGCTGTGGCCCTTTTTACCTCATGAGGGAACTGCCAGGTGAGTACTCGGCCTTGCCAAAGCCAGCCAATCAAATCTTAGAGAGGAGGTGTTTGGGCGTGGCTCTCAGCCGGCTAACGGAGGTGCGAGGTAACCTAGGCAACGCATACCCGGACTGTAGAGCCCTAAGTCGAAAGGGCTGTTAGGATTCACAAGCAGAGGGATGACTTGAATTCAACCAGGATGAGTTGAATTCAACCAAAGGGATGAATGGCGGGGAGCGGGGTGGTGCATCTCCGTGACTGTCTTTTGCACCATGTCCAGGCTGTGTTCCTGACACTGGTTTATGTCTCCCTAAAAAAATGATCTAGGGCTGGTCGCAGTGGCTCACGCCTGTAATCCCAACACTCTGGGAGACGGAGGCGGGCGAATCACCTCAGGTCAGGAGTTCGAGACCAGCCTGGCCAACATGATGCAACTCTGTACTAAAAACACAAAAATTACTTGGGCGTGGTGGCGTATACCTTTAATTCCAGCTACTCGGAACCCGGGAGCGGAGGTTGCATTGAGCCGAGATTGCTCCACTGCACTCCAGCCTGGGCGATAGAACGGGACTCCGTCTCAAAACAAAAACAAACAAACAAAAAATCAAGAGTTTGAGTTTGGAACTTGAGAGGCCTGATTTAATATCTTTGGGGACCTAAAGTTTTAGTTACAAGTCTCCCACAGACTTGCTGTGGGTTTGGGGCACGTTGCCACTCTTCCAAGGTTTCTGCGTTTCCTGGTGTCATCAAAGAAGGGGTAAGAATCGAACCAAACTCTTTTCATTCAAAAAATTATTTTGTTGAGTACCTATGTACCAAGCACTTTTCTAGATGCTGGAGATACAGTTGTGAACAAGACTGACAAGATGCTTGCCTTTTTTGGAATGTACATTTCAGTGTAGGAGGCATTGTAAACAAGATAATGTCAGAGAGTGGTTAATGCTAGGAACAGAAAACATTATAAAAAATTGAAGGTGGCCAGGCGCGTTGCTCACGCCTGTAATCCCAGTGCTTTGGGAGGCTGAGGCAGGAGGATCCCTTGAGCCCAGGAGTTTGAGACCACCCTGGGCAACATGGCGAGACCCAGTCTCTACAAAACATACAAGATTAGCCGGCCGTGGTAGTGCTTGCCTGTAGCCCCAGCTACTCAGGAGACTAAGGAAGGAGAATTGCTTGAACACAGGAGGTCGAGGCTGCAGTGAACCCAGATTGTGCCACTGCACTCCAGCCTGGGCAACAGATGAGACCCTGTCTCTTAAAAAAAAAATTGAGGGGCAGAACTACTTTAGCTAGAGTGGCCAGAGATGCTCTCTCCACATAGCTAAAATTTGAACTAAAATGTAAGCATAGACAAAGGGCCAGCCAGCTATGGACAGGAGGGAGAGATAATTCTAGATACAGGAAATGAGGTCAGAAACCCTGATGTGAGAAAAAGCTTAGAATATCTGAGGGACAGAAAATCAGTTGGACTCCAGTGAAGTGAACAAAAGGAAAGAGTGTTAGGAGAGAGATGAAGCTGGGAGAGTTAGGCAGAGGCTTTTATAAAGCAATAAAGGCATTTAGATTATAAATACAAAAGGAAGCCATTTAAAACAATTTTTTATAGAGACAAGGTCTCACTGTGTCACCCAGGCTGGACGGCAGTGATACAGTCATAGCTCACTGTAACCTCCAATTCCTAGGCTCATGCTGTCCTCCCACCTCAGCCTCCCAAGTAGCTAGGACTACAGGCATGCGCCACCACAGTTGGCTAACTTAAAAATTTTTTGTAAAGATTGGGTCTTACTGTGTTGCCCAAGCTGGTCTTGAACTCCTGGCCAACGACAGTCCTCCCGCCTTGGCCACCCAAAGTGCTAGGATTATAGGCCTGAGCCACTGTGCCCAGCCAAGGAAAGCCATTTTAACATAGGAACTTGGTCTAATGTACTTATTTAGAGAAGTAAATGGATACAGGGTGTTAGACGTAGAGCTGACAGGGTTGAAAAGCTGAATATAGGGCCAGGTGCTGTGGCTAACGCCAGTAATCCCAGCACTTTGGGAGGCTAAGGTGGGAGGACTGCTTGAGCCCAAAAGTTTGAGACCAGCCTGGGCAATATAATGAGACCCCATCTCTACGAAAAATAAAAGTAAATTAGCTAGGGATAGCAGCGTACACCTGTAGTCTCAGCTACTTAGGAAGCTGAGGTGGTAGAATCACTTGAGCCCAGGAAGTTGAGGCTGCAGTGAGCCGTGATTGTGCCAGTGTGCTCCAGCTTAGATGACAGAGGAAGAAGCTGTCTCAGTTAAAAATACGTATTATATATAGAAGTGAAGGAGATAGAGGAATTGATGCCTTTTTAAGTTTTCAGCTTGAATAATTGGGTGTATGGGTACGGAGACTTGGAAGATGAGGAAGGAACAAGTTTGAAGAGGTGGAAATCAAGAGTTGTTTTGGACATGTTTGGTCTCCAAGATGCTGCCTTTCTCTCTCTCTCTTTTTTTTTTTTTCTCCTGAGACAGAGTTGTGCTCTTGTTGCGCAGGCTGGAGTGCAATGGCGCAATCTCGGCTCACTGAAACCTCCGCCTCCCAGGTTCAGGTGATTCTCCTGCCTCAGCCTCCCAAGTAGCTGGGATTACAGGCATGCGCCCCCACACCCAGCTAGTTTTTTATTTTTAGTAGAGACGAGGTTTCTCCCTGTTGGTCAGGCTGATCTCAAATTCCCAACCTCAGGTGATCCACCCACCTTGGCCTGCCAAAGTGCCAGGATTACAGGTGTGAGCCACCACGCCTGGCCTCCCAGATGCCTTTCATTGTCTCAAGTCTTATTTCCGCATCATGACTTGAGGGAAGTAGCGACAGATATTGGTATGGTACTTCAAAGTTCACAACACATATGAAGTAGTATTTAATACTTAGAATAGCCCTTTGAGGTAGCATTATTATCTACATTTTATAATTGAAAAAACTGAAAGATGGAGAAGTTGACATCCCTTTGATTAGTTAGTGGTTGATGTCCACCAGCGTTTCCTTTCATCTTTCTTTTACCTTCCCTATTCTGATTGTAGCTATTTGTATCAGTCAGTTGACAGATTGAATATCTGTTCTGGGCAAATGCTGGGTGTATGAGGAGGGTGAGATGGAGAGAGAGATTAGTAACGCTGGTCATTGCTTTTCAAGGAGTTCACTTAGGAATGTAAAATTTGTGGTTTAAGGATAGTGACTATATTTCCTGTCAACTCCATCTCATTTTGTGCTCATGCCTCACAACAGCAATTAACAATATCTTAGCCATCAATATTAAGAACTATCTAATGGTTTTCAAAGTGTGTTGCTATCCAAAATGACAGTAAGAATAAAATGTCACTTGAGCTAGACCTTGAATAATTCATATTGGTGAAGAAAAATTAGGAAGAATTTTCCTAAAATGAAATAATGTGAGGGGTGTGTTTTGAGGCGATAGGGAGATTCATTTGGACGCATCAGTAATTTTGCATAGAGGAGTAGTGGTTGATGAGGCCCCAAAGCTAAGTTGGAGTAAGATGTAATTAGCCTTGAGTGCCAGTCAAAAGGAATTGGAGTGTTCTCCTGAGGGCAAAAAGAAACCATTAAGATTTGTGAACCAAAGAGTACTGCTTTCCAAAAATATCTCTAACATGTGGGTGCCGTGGATTGAAATAGAGAAGCCATGAGTGATGTTGGCAAGGTTTGGAATTTCAAAACGAAAAAAAAAATTTTTTTTTTTAATCTTGTTGGGCAGGGTGGTTCATGCCTGTGATCCTAGCACTTTGGGAGGCTGAGGCAGGCAGATTGTTTGAGTCTAGGAGTTCAAGACCAGTCTGGGCAACATAGGGAGACCCCTGTCTCTACAAAAAGTATAAAAATTAGCCCAGCATGGCAGTGTATACATGTAGTTCCAGCTACTTGGGAGGCTGAGGCAGGAAAATAGTTTGAGCCCAGGATGCAGAGATTACAGTGAGCCAAGATCATGCCATTGCACTCCAGCCTGGGTGACAGAGCGATACTATCTCAAAAAATAAATAAATAAAAATTTAAAATAACCCTTATAGAATAGTCAAAACTGGAATATGAACTCTCAAGTTTAGAAAAAACCCAGACTGCCTTCTCACCTGGGTCTTAAGGATAACCATCTGGACAGAGGAGAGCTGGCGGAGCAGGGGAAATTCAGAAGATTATAATGGCAAGAGGCAGTGCCCAGAGTTATGAGGAGAGATACTGTGACATTGGGTCTCCTGCCATTACCCTCGCTCAGTCTTCTGAGTTGTTTGGTAGTAAAGGGAAGGAAAAGGGTGAAATAAGGCCTAGCAGTATAGAGCGAAAGTGTCTTGTTTATTTAATAAATATTTATTAAGCACCTAATGTGTGTACTGTGCTAGGCACTAGCGATACATGAATGAACAAGACATTGTCTGTG